TGCCATTTTCTCCCACTAATGAACTAATCGTTTCCTTGAGTTTTTTCTTGTTTTTTATATGTTGAAAGAAGCTTTTTTTGGTTATTTTTTACTTTTTTCACAAGCCTTAGTTCACTTTGAGCCTTAGCTTTCCTCACTTCTTCTTTGCAGATTTGGGCTATTTGCTGATATTCTGCCTTAGTTATGTTCCCCTCTTTTTATACTTGTCCTTTTTGTCTTTCGATTTATCAGAGAATCCTTTATGCAGCTATGCAGCTGTTATTTTTCTGTTATTGTGCTAGACTGGGCTTTTATGCTAAATAGGTTAACTGAACTGAGAACTCCAGGAAGAAATAGTAGGAACTCTATTACAAAAGCAACTTAGTTAAGATTGCAAGATTCCCAAAATTCTGCAGTGGTCCCACTGACATTTTCATTTTTCAGGAGGTTGAAGAAGAGACAAAGAAAATGGTCCTCCTAGATTCGATCCAACCAACAGGGAAGGGCAGATTGAACTAGTGAAAGTGGCAGGATAAACTGACCACATCATTTTGATGTTCAAGATACTATAGAAAGTGCAGTAGAGTTGTATATGCATAACAGAATCAAGGAAAGCAATTTTCAACCAATTTAATGATGTTCTAGATGGGATCTCATATAACATGGCTTAAAGCAGTGATTCTCAACTTGTGGTTTGTGGACCACTGGGAGGGCTGCAATGTCATCACAGGGGGTCCGTGAAAGCTTGAAGAAATGTTATGATTTAAATCTTGAATTGAATCTTGAGGGTCCATGGCCATGTTCCATGATCACAAAAGGTATTTAAAGGGGGTCCATGGTGAAGAAAAGGTTGAGGACTACTGACTTAAAGCATTACTTTTTTAAAAAAATGTAGAAACTACTGCTTATTAGAAAAAAAACAATATTGAGCAATATAAGATTTAGACTCCCTGCTCTTCTGATTATATATGTTAGAAAATGTAATTCAAATTAAGTAGAGAGAAGTGATAATAAGCAAACAATTCTTTATCTCATATAGTCATTCTGAATAATTTATGATTGATTTAAAGCAGCTGCAATCTTGCACTTTTGGGAAGAATATTCTCCTGTATAGTCCATTTTGGCTCTTAAATTACTAAACACTATTGGACATATCTTGAGTACCTATTTTGGCTTTGTCCAGCAGGGTTTCAGTACCTTTCATATTTCCTCCTTTAAAGATGATGTATGAAGTGTGTTTGTAATTTTTAGTATAGAACATAGAAATATGTTGTAAACAGTATAAACATTTTAAAAATATTTTCAGTAGTACTGAAACTGCAATTTGTCACATAGATTTCAATCTATGCTAAATCCTATCATTCTAGACTCTCAGTACCTTTAAATATAAAATGATAGTTGTTGCAAATGATTTAACAAATGATGGTCCATTTTGAAAAAAATAGAAGCTATTGAACATGTATATGTAAAAATGTATAACCTGTCCTTTCAGTGTTCATACCTCAGACAGTTGGTTTTCACCCTCTGTTTTCTTTTCTTTTTTTATAACGTTCTCCTTTGGTCTGAAAAGATTAGCAAGATATTTGACCAATTACTCTTGGATACTAACTTTGTTGCATAGTATATGTAGCATAAGGAATGGGGAGACAATTCCACTTTTTTTAAAGAAGGCTTCCCAAAAAAATGATACAAAAAGCCCATACAACTATAGGTACAAGGCTAATATTTCCATAAAGGTCTGTTTCACTTTCTGGTTTGTAGACAACACTGTACTAGTAATCATTAAAGAAACTGAATGTACAAGTAGTCCTTGACTCACAACCTTTCATTTAATGACTGTTCAATATTATAATGGCACTGAAAAAAGTGACTAGTGACCAGTTTTCATACTTATGACCTTGCAATAACTCCATGATTATGTGATCAAAATTTGGGCACTTGGCAATTGGCATGTATTATCCTGGGGACATGTCATTACCATCTGTAACCTTCCTAGTTGGCTTCCGACAAGCAGTCAATGGGGAAAGCCAGATTTGCTTAATGACTGCATGATTCACTTAACAACTTCTGTGATTCATTTAATATATGTGGCAAAAAGGTTATAAAATGGGGCACAACTCACTTAGCAATGGAAACTTTTGGCTCAATTGTGGTCCTAATTCAAGGACTACCTATATTCCACAATATCTCACAACAACAGCAGCAGTCCAAACACCATTGATGTCATTCAATTCTGGTTTTAGTACCTCTTAGAAAGCTAACAAAATGCAGGCCAGTCTCATTTCTAGAGAGAGATTCTTCCATATTATAGGATATATTGTCTGCAATTCTAGCAAGCCTGTGAAAGGATAAAAACGATGAGGCAAGGCAAACGCCCGGTAGCCGAATATACGCAAGAATTCCGGGCCATTGCCAGCAAACTGAACTGGCCGGAAGACATCCTCCTTAGCCATTTCAAAGACGGACTAAACTATGACCTATATGACACTTGCCTGCTCTGAGGGTACCCACACCAACTTGATGAATGGTACGTCATGGCAGAGGAAGCAGAGATTGACCTACTGAGGAGGCACCGCCGAGGAAAACAATGGAACCGCTCACCGCCTGAGTTGACACGTGAACCAGTGAAACCATCAGCTATGGCCAAGAAGCAAATGGGGTGTTTCAAGTGCGGGAGAGAGGGGCATCGGGCTGTAGAATGCCGTTCAAAAGCCCCCCAGCATAACCCAGACAGATCACCGGCCAGCAGATCCGGGAAGTCTCCAGCTAAGCCAAAAGAACCTGCCATGAGAGTGATGGAGGCTGTGGAATCCCCCACCTCTGCCCATCATGGGGAAAGAACTCCAGCCTACACCGCAGGGCCGGTGGACGCCTCAGATGACAGCTTGGATGGCTAACCCCTGGTAAGTGGACCCATCGCACCCATCCTCAAGACAGTGACTATAATAATTCCCCCCATGCCCGAAGCTGTCAAGGTGAAAGCCTTAATAGACTCTGGCTGCACCCGCTGCCTCATTAGCCCAACGCTAGTGGGGAATCTGGGCATTCCGTCGAGGAGACTGGAACAACCAATCTCATTTGGCCAGTTAGATGGGTCCATAGCAGAGGGTATCAGCTACCCTAGCCACCTTACTCATCCACCTCTCCCTGGGCAAACATGAGGAAGACATAATGTTTGTAGTAACCCCAGGCATGGAATGCCCGATGATCCTAGGGATGGAATGGTTAAAGAAATGGAACCCCTGGGTGAATTGGAGGACGGCAGAAATCAATTTCCCGAAAGGGGACCCTATGGACTTAAAATCCCAAGGGGAGCTACCAAAATTAAGAACGGAAAAAGCCTCCATGGGAGAGGAAAAGGGACTACCAGAGATACCAGAGGAATACAGAGATCTTGCTGAAGTTTTCAGCGAGGAGAGGGCAGATGAGCTTCTCCCCCACCGTCCCACGGACTGTGCCATTGAATTCAAGCCCGGAGCAAAACTCCCGAAGCCAAGATTATACTCCATGAGCCCAAAGGAGAAAGAGGAAATGGAAAGATTCATAAAGAAAAACCTAGAAAGGGGGTTCATTGAGCCAGACAAGCCCAAAGTGGCCGCCCCGGTCCTCTTTAGAGAGAAGAAGGACGGCTCTTTATGCTTATGCGTGGATTATAGGCTCCTGAATACAATCAGTGAAAGCAACCTATACCCCCTGCCCCTCATGAAGGACATGTTGTCACACCTCTCGAAAGGGAATTTTTTTTACTAAACTAGATCTAAGGGAAGCATACTATCGCGTGAGAATTAAGGAAGGGGATGAATGGAAGTCCGCATTTAACTGCCCAATGGGGTGCTACCAATTCAAAGTCTTGCCATTTGGATTACAAGGGGCCCCCGCAGTATTTATGCAATTAATCAATGACGTTCTAAGGGAGCACCTATTTAAGGGGGTCCTGGTTTACTTACCAGAAAGCAATGGGAATACTGTCGTCTGTGCGGTCACGGACATGTTTTCCAAACAGGTGCACTTTATCCCTTGCCAAAAGATTCCCACTGCAAAAGCCTTAGCAAAACGTTTCGTGCAGCATATTTACAGATTGCATGGGGCACCCCAACGCATCATATGTGATAGGGGAGTGCAATTTACATCTGCATTTTGGAAGGAATTTTTATCCCTTTTAGGGACCACTCAGGGACTGACACCCGCAGGGGAACAAGGATCGTCTCCCGGAAGAACTGTGGGGTGGGGGCTGCTTGAAAACATTTAAAACATTGAAGGGTGGGAGAGAATTCCTCAGATCCTGTCTAGAACGCCTGCAACCATCTTCTCTTAATAAAGATGCCTGTTGGAAGAGATATTCCAAGAGTTCTGTCTTCTTAAGGTGTAAAGTGGGGTGGGTCCTTACACAACCACCAGAACTGAATCACTGATATTTGGAATTTCCAACAGTTTGTCAGTTATCTTTTCAAAAGTTCTAATAGCAGACCTGTGGCTATGATCTAGATGGGAAAAAAAGCCAAGAGAGGTTTTAACCCTTTGCTGTGGGCCTGACCCAGATATAATGTCTTTCCCGCCTGTAATTTGCATTTTTAAACTGTGATATCACATTTAGGTTGACCTTAACTTGCACGTATCAAGGTAACAAAACCCCTTTTTGCCCCCGGCATCATCAATTGGGACACTTCATAAGTAATTTACTGTATTTGTGGCTTTTTTTAATGTTGTGGTTAATAAATTGTCAGGAAGTGGAAAGTGCAAGACATGATGATGTCATTTTAACTCATCTCTACTGTCTGAGCACAGTAGTAATGGATATGCACACAAACATATATATAAGAGTACCTTCATCTGTTTTAAATTACATCCAAAAAGTTCAAGTAAGTACTAATGTATACGCCTTGCATGTTTTATAGATATGACTAGACTAGAACTATTCATTTTATGTATCTTTTTGGGATAATCTTAATTTTCTGTGTCTATTAAAAAGTCCAAGGCTGTAGCTGACACTTTCCAGGGCTGACTGCCATTCTTTTGGAACTATGGATCCATGGAAGAATTGGATAAGATGCTCTCTTCTTCGGGTGTTCTGCTGTTATTACTCCTTCCTCCTCACTGTTTCAAGTCCTTTGCCCTTGAAGCAAACAGGCACTCTAAATAATAACTCCTGCAGCCTCAGCCAACACCACTTCCAGAGGATCACCATCAAGAACCTAACCTATAGCGTGGCCAAACAGGTAAAACCAGAGGGCTTTGCACAGTGCCAGAGTATTGGCTGTTGGACTTTTCTATTGTGTATTTTCTGGTTTGCATCCATTTTTTCTGCCATTTTTTTCTTTCTGAAAAGAGACTATCTTGTGATAGCTGGATATGTCCTGGTGAGTTAGGGTTTTCCAAATTGCACTTATAATATGTATAATTTGGAAAAGCCATAACTCAGTAGAACATATCCAGAAGTCTCTGCTGGGCAATCTGGTAGCAGCTTGGTACATGTCTATTTCCTTATTGGCTTTCTGTACATTGTCAGTCATATAATTTTACCTCCTGTTATGTTCTGTGTAATTCCTCAGATTTCCTATTTTGGTGGGTTTTACTCTTTTTGCCAGGTTTTCATATTGGTTTGTATGATTTTGGCTTAGCACAATTTGTGATTCTGCCGTGGTTTGTCAGTAATGGCATATTGCTTACCAAGTTATGCAGAAATCAGCCACTGTATATATTTTTAAAAAAATTCAAAATGCAGTGTAAGAATCTATGGCTAGCTCAAATAAAAATGTTTTTTTTTAATTTCTACCTTTTTCTTGGTTTCTACAATTCCCTGGTGAAATTAGAAAGCTATTGCAGTTCCAGTAAATTGGTAGCTACAAAACAGGACTTTCACAAAGTTAAAGGCTCATTTTCTGTGCTACAGTTTTCCTGTTTCTTTTATCAGGCAAGGCTTTATGATAAGGACACAGATAACAGATTTGTGGGACAGCATCTATATACCAACATTACGGTGAGACTCTATTTTAAACATGCATTAATTAATTTAAATTTTGTTGATATAAACTTAAGACTTCTGCAGCAAAATCTATCAAAAGTGAGATAGAAGCTGTAACTATGAGATCAAAGTCCTTTTTTATATGCATCACATGTGGAACTCTACTTAAAAAGGGAAGGGTCTTCAGGCCCAGAGTCAAAGCTATCTTGGCTTCAGTGACCCACTCCTGCAGATGGCAGCAAACTGTCAAAATGCTCAGACAGACATAGTGACATGATTGCAATCATTACATACTTACATCCTGATCACTGGATGCTAGTATGTACCTTGTGGTTTTTGCTCAGGACAGCATAACACGTTCTATGTACAGTATATAGGTGCTTATTCCTGCATAGTCCAATCTCTATTTTTTGCCTGTTTATTTTGCAGAGGAATGAACGTTGCTACTTAATGAAAAGAATAACAGATACTGTGCTCACACATGTCCTCTATAACCTGAAGAACCAATATCCCAGTCTCCAAGAAGTAATATATTTTTTGGTGCATTTGAATGCGGAACTGCGTGACTGTGTAAGCATCATAAGAATTATGTATTGGGCAGATACTCTCTCCTGTCAGAATCCAGACTATTTCATTTCAGATGATGGTGGGAGGAATATTTCAGCATATGTAAAGGAAATACCAGTCTTGAAAAAACTTCAAATGGTTTTTATTTGTTCTCTATCCCTTCTTCTCAACTTTCTTCAAATCTTTCACTTCATATCTAATTTTCTTTCTTGGATGGTTTCAAACTACAAATAGAATTGGCCTCTGTTTATCTACAGTACATCTACATCTACATCTCAACTACATCTAACACCATAGCTCTGGTGCTGATAGCACTAACAGAGGAAACCTCAAATCAAAACATCCAAGATTTCTGAAGTTCAACACAAACCACATTGTTATATTTTTTTCTTTCCTTTTCAGAAACCACTGGAAGATAAAACATACATCGAAGGACATTTGAAAAGAATGAAAGACAAATTAGAAGAGGTACATTAATTTAAGAATAGATTGATGAGAGCAATGGAGGTATGCTGCCTATTTTTGTCACTATGGAAGGTTGAATTAAATGTCTAGAATAGTTCTGACCAGCTTTCAGGGGATGTGGATATATTATTGGAGAAAAGGTAGACCATGTTAAATCAAGACAGTGCAAGACTGAAATTGGGTAAAGTTGACCTGTAGCATCTTATAGTTGCATCCACATTATTTGTATTTCTTCCTTCACCCTCCATTTCTTCAGTTGTTTTCAACATTTCCTATTCTGATTTTCAGTTTTCATTTGAGTATGTTATTTTTCCAAACTTTGAACTGTTGCATATTTGCTTTTGCATATTTTCATTATGATGGCAAATAGTATCAGAACAAAAAAGCAATAATCTTGGTGATGGCAATGCAAGCTCTCTCTTTGCAATATATTGGGAAGGTTTTTTTTTTACATGATGCAAGTAAACATGCACTACAGGTAACAGTCGGAGGAGTTATGATCTTCTTTCAACAGAGAATTAACTCTCCAATTTATGGATTAAAGAATCTTTCATGTTTTCACATCTATTAAGTCTGGTCAAAATCTACAGTAGCTATGGGATTGCATTATGACAGTTTGAAGTCCAAATATATTTAATATAGCATATGCTTTCTTAGTCTGACCACAGGATATCTTAAAATTGCAAATCTTTTTATAATTTTTATTACATTTTATTTGATGTCATGTATATGAGATAGCAGAATTATTTTAACTTTACCACTGAAGTTCACAAAGGTGGTCACAGGTTCTGCAAGGCCAGGGTTACCCTGAATAGGCTTGATAATTGACCGTATCTCTTATGTCTTCTATCATATAGGATCACACTACTGATCCTATAGAACAAAAGACCTAAACAAAACAAAAAAAACCTACCTTCTATACATCAAAACAAACAAATAATATTTTGCCATACTAGATTAGATAGAGCCTTTTATAAAAATAATTCCCATCACCAAATAAATTCTAGACAAAGCAATATATACTTGGATCTGTTGTAGACCATACTTTTGCTTTGATTTTTCAGTTGGGAGAGAATGGAATGAACAAAGTAGTTGGTGAACTTGATTTGCTGTTTGACTATCTGGAGAATGCATGTACTTCAAAGAAAGCAAGCAGCGGGCACCGGGGCAACAAGAACTGAGTGGACCATCAAAATTATGATATGTTTTTCATATACTGAAGAAAAAGCAATACATATTATAGGTCAATGTTAAAGTCAATTTCCAGAAATGTTTGTTCATCTGATAGAAAAAAAATTATAAATATGTTTGGATGCTGCATTTTCTGAGATTTCTGATAGGTCCAATGCAACTAATGGCTCCCTTGGAGCTATAATTGAATAAGTAACAATTTGCCAAATTATAAAAGTGGAATTTTGGATAGCATCCTGATAAGTCATACAATTTTATTTATTTAAGTATCTGAATAATTTTTTTTAGAATATTTTATCTACTAACAGTACTTATCTTCAAAGAATCACTATATATTTGCCATAGCATTTTAATGAGTATTACTACTGCATATAGCTAATAATTTATTGTTATATTTTGATATATTTGATATATTTTGATATAATTTATAATGTATTTATAGGAATATTCTAGGATATAGTTTGTAACTTTTAAGTATTATATATTAAGCAATATAATATGATGTAATTGTGTAAGTTTAGTGACTGTTTTCTCATAGTAATGATGCATTTTGATATGATTTATTTATGTTATTAAAATAAGTATCATTTGAAACTATATGTTCACATATGTACATATTTTTTAATAAATGAATATTAGATTTGTTTAATGTTTGAAAATTAGCAATAAAAAGTCAACAGTATAATATATCCCGACTGATTACATTTTATGAGTTCTATATGACATTAGTTTTTGAAATATCACCAGTGGGTGGCAGGGATAAAGGAGAAGAAAGAATTTCTTGTAATAGTCATTTCATTATTTTGTCCAGTCCCTCTCTTGGGATCACTCCACGTTGCAACCCTTCATTCCAAGTCTCATTTGGTGCTGGCAGTAAACCATGGGGTAGGTTATTACTGAGATGACATGCTTTTAAAAACTGATTGTACCTGATTGACCATTGACTGTGGGGATGGGAAGGAAATGCCAAATAGCTTTTTGCTTTCATTGAATAGGAATTGTGTTATTAACTAATAGCCAGCTCTGACATTGTTAATAATAATAATAAAGTTGGAAGGGACCTTGGAGGTCATCAAGTCCAACCCCCTGCTCAGGCAGGTAACCCTATACCATTTTGGACAAATGGCTGTCCAGTTTCTTCTTAAAATCTTCCAGTGTTGGAGCATTCACCGCTTCTGGAGGCAGGTTGTTCCACTGGTTAATTGTTCTAACTGTCAGGAAGTTTCTCCTTAGTTCTAGGTTGCTTCTCTCTTTGGTTAGTTTCCATCCATTGCTTCTTGTCCTGCCTTCAGGTGCTTTGGAAAATAGCTTGACTCCCTCTTCTCTGTGGCGGCCCCTGAGACATAACAATGGTCTTCTCTAATCTTCTTTGACCAAAGAATTCTACTTTTGGGCAGCTATTGAAATAGGGGGGATAAACTAAGAGCACTGTCTGGACCACTTTGTTTTCTTTGTTCCAGTCTTTTCATTCTTCACATGCTGCAAAAAAGTCGTAAAATTGGGCATGACTCACTTAAAAACCACCTTGCTTAGCGATGGAAATTCTGGTCATAAGTTGATGACTACCTGTACTATTGAGGGTGGGTGGGAGAGACATTTTGCATATTCTAACAATCTGAGCAGTTCTAAATAGCTTAGTGTAATCTGAAGGACACCGCTTGTGATGGTTAGTCGTGTAGTTTCCCAGTAATTCTGAAGTTATTTTGCTGCTTTTTCCTCCAAATAATCCAGTCTAAAGAATATGGATTAGAAATGGCTTTCAGCAGTAGATGCAGATTTTCAGCTCTTTAGCTGGATTGAAACAAATAATTGAAACAAACAAATAAATAATAAATAAAACAAATAACCTGCCAAATACTTCTGCACAGCTAAACATTCCTTGCCTGACATGTAGTCTTGTGTCATGAAATGTGTCCCTATATATGTTTCCATGATCATCATGAGAGTCAGAACTTTTTACTATTTATGTAATCAATTAAATGATAGCAATGTAAATCTCATTTATGGGAGTGCTAATCTTAAACAAATGAGTTCATGTAATAATATTTAATCTCCTTCCACTTAACATTCAAAAGATTTTCTTTCTAAAAAAAATGTTAGCTCTCCACAACTGTTGCTGTGAAGAGTATTGAAAAAGAAAAAAAATTCCAAAAGCTTAATTTGTTGACTTTGTTCTATTTTTTAAATAAATGTTTTATTAATTTTCTATTTTCACATACAAGTGCTCAATGGACAATGTGATGACTGAGTCCATTAGTAATTCTGTGGTACATATAAGCTTCTTCCAATTAAGTCCACTATTACACCCGCCAGTACATCCTCTCTTCTTCTGGCAATAACCATTTTTCTGTATCAAGCAAATACAATTCTTATTATTGTTAGTAAACATACAATTGCATATCAACATTTATTACATTTTTCTAATAATATCAATAATATCAGTTTAAAATATCTTTTCTAACCAAAGCATATCTTAATTGCATTTGCATTCAATTTCCACTTATTTAATCCATATCCTGTTTCCACTTTTTTCAATTTTAATTTCCCATCCATGTTCAAAGTATTCCAATCATTTATCATTTTGAAACAAGTTGTATTTGGGCAACCAAAAGCATCCCTTATTCAAAATTCTTAACATATTTTTATTTCCCTTTTTATACCAAGATACAATATTCTGATTATAAATCTTAACTATCTACCTATAATAATACTTCTATTTCTAACAATCTATTCTTAACCATATTCAAACCTCTAATTAATAATATGGCATCCCCTCTAATAGGTCAAAGCTTCTGTTTCCTTCAATCTTACTCTAGCTTTCTTTCTTTGCCAACTAACTTTCCAATTCAGTGCATTTGGATCATCAAATAATTTTTCCTCTATTTTTGTATATATTATTTGGAACAAGAGAAACAATTTGGTTGAAGTGTTTTTGGAAGAGCTAGCCCACTGATATTCATTAAACCGCCTCCCTCCTTCTCCAGTTCCCCACAGCTCTGTTAACAACTTTATCTTCCATTCCATCAGCTCTCCTTCCTTGTAATCCAGTATGTTCTGAAACCTTTGTTTATAAAATGTCTTTTCAGTTTCCAGTATTATTGTTGTGTCTTCTGAGTTTTCATTTATCTGAGTCTGGTCATTAGTTTCTTCATTTAGATCCTCAATGTTTGTGTCAGCATTCTCTAGTTTTCCTTCTATTTTCTGGCTTGCTGGTTCCTTCTTTGTAGTTGTTTTCTGAGTTTGTAGATTTAGGTTAGAAAATTGTTCTTTTATCTCCTTTGTGTTATTTTTAACCTGCTCACAAGCTAAAGTAATTGTTCTTTGTATTAACTTCATCAGGGAGAGAATTTCTTTCTGTGTTTCATCAGTATTTTCTTGGTGATATGGCAAGTTAAGGTTACTGGGAACAGATGTTAAAGATGATGTTTTACTATTTAACGCTGAGTATGGAACATCAATTTTATTTTTAATTTTTTTTATAAGTAGTCTTTATAGATTTATCTCACCAACTGTCCATTCTTGAGTCTACCCTAAGCAGATATAGGTAAAATTCAAATTTTTCTGTCCAGTAAGAAATATATCCTTTCTGTCCAGGGAGAAAAAAGAACCATTGAAGGTTGTTCAACAATCAAGATTTATAATCCAAAGTGTTCCATATGTTTCTTCTACAAGAAAATAATTCCACAATACAGTTCTAAAAGTCAGTATTTATGTTCAAAATTCAGACAGGCCAAACTTAGAATATTTACCATCTCTGCCACACAGATAAGCAGCCCCCAAGCCTGTAGAATATTTATCATCTCTGCCACACAGATAAGCAGCCCCCAAGCCTGTTCCTTTTTTCTCAGCTGAAATTCTTAGCAGTAAAACCTTCCAAGGCCAGCCAAAGTCTTATCTAATTCTGGGCTTCAAGCCAGGTTTCTTTTAGGCATAAATAAGCTGTAGTGCCATAGTTCACCACTAGATGTCATCAATGCCGCTTTTCAGTTTTTAGTCCCCAAATTTTCAAGCTTTATGTATATATTTATTCCAAATAGGTCTTATGGGTTTTACCATTTTCCCCAAATAATTAATTCGCCGCTTTTTTTTCCTGAGGGAATGGGCGGAAATTCCCTTTCCCTCTTTCATCAGGGGGAGTGCTTTGGTCAGATTTTCAAGAAGTGTTCTTAAAATCATAAAGAAAGGATCAGGTCTCACCCAGTTGCTGTAAAGTTGCTTGGTAGTGCCTGTTGACTTCTGTTGTCAGCAGCTTTGGACTGGCTTCATGAATGCAGCCAGTCTTTCCCCCGCCGATTTGGAGGGCTTCCTTGGATCAAACAGGAGGGCCCCCCTTCCCCGTGATCAACGAGAGTCCCCTCCTTGCTTGCTGCCTCTACGGGGCAACTTTCGACCCTTTCCAGGATCCCCCAGCAGGGCGAAACCAGAGGTGAAAGACGGAGCCCTGTCTTCCTGCGCCTGCATCACTGTGACATCAAAACCGGAGGTCTGACTTTGTTCTATTGATAAGCCTTGGGAATGTAAGAAAGCAGTATCAGCAGTTTTGCAACTATGGGATTCCTTCAGTACTTCTAACTGTTGTAAGTGGCTAGAGTGGCAGACAGGATACTCATACTTTGTAAGAAGAAGGAAGAAAATAATTTAAAATCTCTTCTGCCTGGGTGTAGGTTGAAATAGCATTTATTGTCAGTGGAAATACAAACTGTCCACAAATTTTGTTAAACTCCAGCTTTCTTCAGATGGAGGGAAAAGAGGGATATCCAAAGCTGGCTTCATAAGATGATTACATCTAGATTGCAAAGAGAGTACCAAGAGAAGGAGCTTTCTGTAATTCTATTAACATTTAGTGATTATCTGGATTTTTGCAGATATGGTAGCCCCACTTACGTATTAGAAAAACTAGATGTGTGTCTGATATATGTCATGGGAACTGATGATTGTATGGATAGGTTTAGAGTATTATAGTCAGTTGTAGGGCAAATTCTTCCCTTCT